AACCTCACATGTACATGTACGTATAAGCGTGAGAGAGTGTGTATTAAGATGGGAGATTTATGGTTAGGAAGAGAATGCTGGGAAGTGGAAGTGTAGAACCAACTTATGGCTGATTATGATTTCATTTTTCTGCAACATGATGGTAGAGAGTTTTTTCTATGAAGTGTGACGGTAAGATTATCTTTTGAAAATATTGGATGCTGCAAAGTGAGAAGCAAATTTTTGATCTCTTCATCCTTTTTACCCCCTGTTTTTTCCTGTTTCATGGTGCATATTGAAATCTTTAGAGGCAGTACACATACGATCACTATCATCAGAAGTAGCTTGGTCAAAATACATAAAACAGTTTTCTCCATTTTCTTTGATTGATGGACTTCACTGTTTATGTTTGAAAGACACTTTTATATCTGTAAGGTGTTTTCTATATCATGCTTGTCCAGGTGGATATGCGTGAATTCTTAAATGCTCCAAATGGATCGTCCAAGCAATCTCGTCCTGTCAATGAGAGGCCTGATGCAGACCCTTCTCAGTCCCCATTGGGCGGAAGGACGGTATGGCAGAGTGATAGAAAGAGATACAAATGGTTTCTTGAAGGATATAATCGTACCGTTATATAACATCTGACTTCATACTTTGCAGGATATGTTTGATCTTCCTCTCCACATGGCTAGAGATCAAATTGAAGAGAGTCTACGAACAAAGATGGCTTCTATTAAGGTAGACACGCTGGCAATAAGATGCAAATGCCTGTTATGTGTAAAAATATATCAGTATGACGTGCATAATATTTTTGTTAGCTTCTGTTTAAGGTGATCTGATACATATGCTTTTTTGGTGTAAAAATTTCTGAATATGATGTAAAATATAAGCATTCATTTTCTGCTTTTATTAAATCTCAAGGAGCGCATGGTTGAGCTTCAAGATGCACAAAAAGGTGCAGAAGTTACTTCGGAGGTGACGGAGAGAGAACTTGAGCTAGAGGCTCAGCTTGTTGAGGCAAGAAGCATTATCCAAGAGCAGGTATTGTAACCATAATTGGGCCTTGGAAACTGTACATGATATTTTTTGTTGGAAATGAACCCTCCGCACATGGATAATTCATTCCTCTACCAAACTGTAAATCTGCAATATTTACTTACATGCACATTATCTGTATTTTTGAAAGAGCATTAGCAGAGTTGCTAGTACCGGTCAGAGATTTTTTCATAGGCTTTTAAGAATTTAAGGAATAAGATGAACAAACACGCATTAAAAAATTATTAATTCAATTTCTGTTTTCAGATTCTTTTTCTTGTCAATATAGTTGCATGTTTAGATGCTGAAACTGCAAAACAGAATTCACCTTGCTGAGTGTTAAATATTTAGTGTGCATTGCAATACATGCTAAACAAATACGGAGTTGCTTCGTATGTTCTGACACAGCTATGAACTGAACATGTTTGGGACCTATTTTTATGCGTATTTTGGACCCAAACAGACTTTGCAAGTTTATCTAAATTCTTATCGTCACACCCTTTGCCCAATAAATAGGAGAAAGAGAGGAAGGTAAAACTTTTAGGAGGATAATCAGTGAAGTTTGGAAAACAATTTGCTTCACCAAAGCCTCTACAATGTTCACTTTAATTTAATTTTTTGCTGCACATCTCATCTCCAACTTTAACTTTCGCCTTTTCACATTCTTTCAAGACTATCTTTGTATCTCTCTAAATGTTCCAGTGCTTTAAATCAAAATTAATATGGTCAGTGCTTTAACGCAGGCATCTATTATGTCTAAACATCTCGAGAAGCCTGAAAGGCCAAGTAGGAGGTTGAGTGGCCATCTGAGTTCTGATTGAAACTCAATCTTGTCATCTCAGCCTGAGGTATGTATATCAGTTTTTCTCTCGTTTTGTTTAATATTTAAATTATTGGGTTTTATGTATGACGTATTATACTTGTTTCTAGAATTTAGATGCCGGGTTGATAAGGCGGAATCAAACTCTGGTAACTACTAGTTATATTTTGCATGATCTTGAAAATAAAGAATTAGACAAACCACTAAAAATGTGGGATTGGCTGAATAGGTGCACAAGATTGAATCATAGGTTTGTTTGAGTGTCTATCTTAAGTATATCGTCTGAATGCTTAGTTAAATTACTAAAGTACATAGCGATGGTTCAGCGGAAATAGTAGATAAGATTTACTATTGAATCATTGAAGGTTTATTCATAAATGCATTCTTGGTGACAATTTCTCTTTGTGCCTAGGGAATGTGAAATCAACCGAATCCAAGTTATCCCACTTATGGCCATGGTCATGTATTAGAAACGATGTATATTGATCTCGTGCACCAATACCTTGTGTTCGAAGCCTCTTGAATACTACGAGCTTTTTGTTAGCTGTAGTTTGATGCTGTATGTATTGCATATGTAATTGCTTTATGCTTATCTTATCCTTGAACTTTCAGATACACGACTCTGACTCAGTTATGTAGAAAAGAATATCCATCTGAATTTCAATCTAGTTCGAAATATTATTTTGTCATTTCTTCTAGATGAATTTTGCCTTCATTGTCACAAGATTATGATTGTCATCATATTTCCTTTTCATTAAAGCTTTTTCCATTCATCTATCTATTGATGCATTTTACCTGTCTGCCTCTTGTTTGGTAGAGATCATTTATACCCTATCCTTCACCCCGACCCCCACATAAATTTGGAAAAATGAAAAATAAAATTACACCGTCTCCAGTCTCTTTATTGACTGTGCTCCAAAGCCAAAATTATTCTAACAAGCTGGAAGAATTTGGTAGAGCAATATGCATCTTAACCCTAAACATTCTGTGTCATGTATAAGGTGGAAGCACAGGAGATTATTGGACAGTATTTTATTTTACCAGAGTTTCATTATTAAATTACGAGGATAGCTAACATCCCCAAACGCGGTCACGTAAGGTTATTTGATGCAATTGTGGTTACTGGTTCACGCTATCAAATCTCATTCACCTAAAAATAGGACCTCATCTAACGTTACCATATTGTCAAAATAATTTAAAAGTCAACTCCTAGTCTAATGCTTATTGGTAGCATCGTAGAACAACAAATTCGATGAACCGGCCTTCTATAAATAATTTAGTAATTTTAGTTGGAGTCTAAATAGAAAGATTTTAGATTTATGTAGTATTAATGTCTAATGAATAGATGGTTAGATCAAATTTCATTTTCAATGAGTTAGGTATAATTACAAATTTCATTACTAATGTATATTTACTAAAAAACAAGATAGAAAGAGTGAAATATTAAATTATGATGACTAATTTCGCTTAACAGAGTCTCTACATTTAAAGGGTTCTCTTGACAATGTCTACTCTTTTTCTTTTTTACCATATCAGCATAGTCCTAGACGCGTTACATTGGAGAGGAATTTTATAGACAATATCTATTTTTAAATTATGTAACAACGTTTTTAATGTTATACACATTAGTATTAGAAATGCTCTAGTGGTTCTTCCATGTCTTGTTTATTTTAGATCAAAATTCTAATAGATTTTGATAAAAATTAATGAATTGTGTGGTTGAAAAATTATGAATTTCACGAGATGTGTGCTTAAAATTAATTATTGACGTTCAACTTAGATTTTAATAAAATAAATAAATAAATAAAAACTAGTTGAACTAAATAGGGATACGCTACTTCATTATATATTTGACGAATGCGATCGAATTAATTTCAATCACCTAACATAACGGGATTGTAGGGTAAGTTTATATTGGAAAAAATTCAAGTACATGCACATTAATGGGTTGACTAGGCAAGATTTTGAGCTCAAGTTTCAACCGTTTATTTAAGAAAATTTTAAAGATTAAGTTGACTCCAACGAAGTCGAGAAATTGTGTTAAAATATATAAATATAATTCATGCTTCTCTAAGGGCTAACTCTTCATTTGCTTTTTTAATTAATGAATTTTTACAAAAATAAAATTATTCAAGATATTGAATAATAGAATATATAATAATGAGAGAAGTTGTTGACATGCCTTGAGGACTTGATAAAATTATAAATTGCACATGAATTTTAACTTCGAGAGAGAACCAAAATGTCAGCGTAGCTTTAAAAAAAAAGGTGATTTCTTTGCTTGTTCATGACAAAAAGACGTTAGTTAACAGGACTTCGCTATTTGTACAAATAACTTTATTGTAGTTAACAACCGGAAATTGATTATTTGGATAAAAAATGGAGTACAATACAAATTAACAACAAAAATAAATGAAAAATCACGTGCCCATGTTCCCATCTTTCGCCTTTGAACCAGGAAGACTATGCGCAAGGAATTATTGGAGAGCTCTTTCTTTATATAGTTGCAGATTTTAAACTTTGCACATTCCCTAGAGAATTATTGCATGTAAGTTTATGTTGATCACTCCCAATGGAGACCAAAAATCGTGTTGAGCAAAATCAAATCTCTGTGCTTCTCGAAGGTGAAGGATTTAATCGAATTCTTGCGAGAGAGTCTTCGGTGGGTCAATCTTCGCGTATGTTTTATCGCCATGCAGAAGGGGTACCGTTCAAATGGGAAATGCAGCCCGGGACGGCCAAGAATCCGCCGGAAAAAGATGTTATTCCACCACTTTCTCCACAGCCATTGATACAGAGCTTGGGGCTTCCTTTGCCTCAAGTAGATGAACCTGAAGAGGCAGGCTCAAAGCACTCAAGGATCTGGCACAATTGGAAGAAGATGTTGAAGAAGAGTAGTCAAAATAATAGCTCCAGCTTTGGTGATTCTGATGAAGAATTTGCAGCGAATTCATCTTCGTCTTCATCAAATTGTCACATTTCTGAATCGTCGAGGGTTGGAAGGGATTTGTTGGATGGTCCTTTTTGTTGCAGTCCATGGAACATCACAGCCGCACTGGTTCGTGTTTAATTAATGAATTTGCATGAACTAATTAAATATAATTTTCAAATAAATTAACTTATTTTCCTTTTGAAATTACCAATTTACAGGATGAAGGAAACACGAAGATATATTACTGCAGAACCCACAAGACTTTTGCACTAGAAGAAGATGGTTTAATCTTCAGCAGAATTCTGTCAAGAGTCTCTTCTGTCGATCAATCTGGTCCTTTACACAGTACTGAAATTACTTCTTCGGGGATTCCTTTCAAATGGGAAATGCAACCCGGGACGCCGAAAAACGCACCGGAAAATGACGTAATCCCACCCCCCAGTCCTCCACCAGCGGTTCAAAGCTTGGCACTGCCTTGGCCTACTCTTCTGTGCACTGGTGGAGAAGAAAAAACTAAGAGCTCAAAATGGTCGAGGGTCTGGTTTTGGATTAAAATAAAGAAAATGATCGAGCAAAATGAGAATGTGCAAGAACTCAGCTTCAGATATGACCATAAGATGGAATTTTGCAAGCCTGATAAGGAATTTGATGCCTTTTTGCGCAGTTCATCTTCATCTTCTGCTCATAAAACAAGTTGGACTTTGCGATTGTCCAAAATTAGAAGGGACTGCTTGAGTTGGATTTCTAGGAACAATGAGGCAATTCTTGTTTATGCAACAAGAAAATTAAAGCACTAACTAATAAAACTTTTCACTCATATGAATCATTATTTGATTCGTAATATTACATGGTACCAGAAAAATAGTTCGCCACCAACCCTGTTCTCTTTCTCGATTTCCTTCGTGAAATTTTATTGTGTTTCTGTCCATTTTGTAAATGAGTCTCTTGATCTCTGCGTGGTGTCATGGGTTATGTTTCCTCCTTAGAAGGAAACAAGGCAGTGGTTTTGATTGTCAAATGATGTCCGAAATCTAGGTAAAAAACTGAGTCTAAAGCTTCTTGAATCCAATGTCGATGTCAAAACTCTGAGTGTACAGAAATAATATTCGTAATAGATCAAGCATATATCTGTTTCTTTTTCACCACGTTTTTGAATTCTTGGTACATCAGCATATGGTTAGAGAACAGATAAACAACTAAAAACAGATGATATATATTATTTACGTCAAAATTTGGTACATCAACAGAGATGAATTCAAATTCCTGAGATCTAAATCATCTGTATGAGAGAGCGGAAAAAAAAAAAAGGTGCATATTTCTAATTACAGAACATGAAATTGGCGATGGCGCTGGTGATGAATATAAGATTCTTGTTATGAAATAAAGGATAAAATCTAATACGATTTTTATATAGAAATAATAATCAACGTACAAACTACTATTCTTATTAAACTGACATTTTAGGATAAAAATTCTAAATTTCTATATTTGTTCGCTTACATCCCTGGTGAAAGATAACTATAGAGTTGAGATAAATTTATTGCGATATTCTTATTTATTTGGTCTGGAAATAGATTCAAAAAAAGGGCGATAGCTATAGCGTACAAATAAATACAAGTCCATCAATTTTTATTTTGTATTTTTCTGGTTGACAGCTAGTTAAATATTGGAGATTCTCTCACATGATGTCTATCGTTAGTCATTTTTCATGGTTTTTGAACTATATAATGGGTAGCTTGTACGCAGGGCCGGTCCTATGATCGGCGAGGCCCAAGGCGAAATTGGGCCCCCAAAATCAACATAAATCAAAATTCAACGGTGTATTATATAACCAATTGTTAACTTAAAACTTAACGTAAAAGACATTTACAAAACATCTCAATTATGGGAGAATTCTTTTACGTTGATTAATGGGTTTTACAAAAAAAAAAAAAAAAAAAAAAAAAAAAAAGAAAAAAATGGGAAAAAAAATTTTGGGCCCCCTTGAAGAATTGGGTTTGAGGCAACGGCCTGTTGAGCCTATGCTCAGGATCGTACGTCCAAAGCTCCAAATGAGATTGATAATTTTTCATGAAAAGGGTCATTAGTGTAGTTTTACAAATAATGAACTCTATGCATATGCTGGAAAGATAATAAGGTTTTGAAAAAATGTCAATGTGCCATAATAAATTCTTTATTCATACAACACGAAAAGTAGAGATGTCAAAATATGTCGAACTGTCAAGCAGAGCATCTATTGAAGAAAGTATATGGGTCCAATGAAATAAACTTTCTTATAAAATCAAAAACAAAGTATTGTACATCCCTCGGAGAAAGCCTGGTTTTTAAGCGAAAACCTTTTTTGCTTCTTTTCTACAGACGAGCTAAGCTCATGCAACAAGGGGTTAGATCACCTCTGGGAAAGCGAAACTCGTGCAAAGTAATTAGCCTACGCTTCTACTCAGGAATGCACCAACAAAAGGGAAAAAAAGAATGACTCTAATTTCAACTTTCAAAGCAATTGGCATATTTGTCCCCCTGCGAAAATAAGGGTTATTTCCTTCACCGGTTAATCACTGAGAGAGGGCCGTTTGGACAGGGCCTGTCCAAGAAGATTAATCCATAACATAACATAGAAAAGTACCAAAATATGTGGGGCCATTACACCAACATAACCTCATGTGGCCCTGCCAGTGCATGTGCTGAGCTCGAAAGGGAAAGCCAGATGATGAGGGTTGGTCAAAAAATAGGAAGTTGCTCTGGACCGTAGATCTCACATTTGATCAACAGTGGCCTTTGAGAGTATAAATAGGGCATTTTGGTTGAAACCCTAATTCATTGTGTCATATATTCTTTTGCGTGAGGGATGCAGTGTTAGGCAATTTGTTATCAAACGACATCCCTCGGACTATGATATTACTCTGTTTCTTTTTTGTAGTCGGTTTAACAAATGACTCGAAGGTTAATTGAGTCATTCGAAGCAACCTAAATATTTTAGTGTTGCTTGTGGCCCAATCCGCTTCCTTGGATGGCCATATTTGAGAGAAATTATTTGTGAGTCCACTTACTTACATATTGGGCTTCTACTTTGACCCATCTATTAACCTACTACACTTACCATATTTGGGCCATTAATACTTGACAAAATGGGTATCTTTCTCTCTTGGTGAGAGACGTCCTTTGCCTCTCTATTCGGCTGGTTTCTGCGGGAGTTCTCTTCTACTCTTTCTGCCTCCTTTTCGATTTCTACCTATAGTGGTGATAATTTATGAGAAACAGTGCACCTTTATGGTCTCCTAAGTGAACTATCTCATTGACAACCGGAAATGGAAGCTTAATTATTGTCTTGAGTCGTTGTTGTGGTGTTAGAAGTTGGTATAAACTGAGTTTGAGCAAGCTTTGGTGCTCAATATACTTTCTACATGATGTCTTTTTGGAAAGATTGTTATGACCTTTGTTCGTCTTTCTTTCATCTTCAATCTCTAGTTGTGTGAACTTGTGATTTCTCAATGAAATTAGAAGTCTGAGTGATTCGATTTGAGGGAAAGGGAGACTATTATGTTATTGAGTTTTTACGGTCCATAGAAGTAATTGCAACTCGCTTGGGCTCTATAAGTATCTATGTTGATCCGAGGCTTTTGTCTTAATACAAGTGGGTATAACATTCTGAGCCTATGTTAGATGATATCTTGAAGTCATATGGTAGGTTTGAGCTTGTAAATCTCCTCTAAACTTTAGATCATTCCAATATATCGATCATCTTTGTATAATAACACTCAATGCATGATTCTATTTTTTCCTCTTTTTTTATTCCTTTCATTTCTCTAACTCACGATTTCGAATCATGCAAAAAATAATAAAATAATAAAAAATAAAAATAAAAAACTATTGGCACGTGTTTTATTTTGAAGCCTACAATCCCACCAATTCTCCAATGGTGTGCCCCTTATATAATATAATAGCTCCTTACAAGAAGCCTAAACCTAACCTAGTTTCCTTGCCTAGGTTTATTTTCCTTGTTTGCCAAAAGTTGGATTCCTTTTCCCTCACTTCTATTTCTTTCCTTACCTATTTTCCACCATCCGTGAACAAGTCTCCGTTCCACCACATATACCCTAATTTAATTGGTGCAATATCCTAAATTATTATTGGTCCTCCAACTTTATTTACTTATTTTGAGTTAATTCTAATAATACGGTCTAGAAACGCAATATATAGAAAACTAATTTTTTATTTTTCCCTAATAGTCCTATGGCATTTCAAAAATTAAATTATGTTCAAGGACCATACGAAGACCCCTAATCCACGTGTGTCTACGTATTGAAGGCATTTAGTACGTGAGAGTCACAAAATTTTAATCCCATTTTTTTTAGATTTTTTTAACTAGGAAGGCTTTTAGTTCATTATACGAGGCTCGTATTGAATTTTGAGTTCTTTAGTGCACTTCTTAAATAAGATTTTTGGATATTTTAGTTTTGTCCCCATCTCTACAAGGCAAGGATGTTTAGATTGTAGGCATCAAGCACGTAAGGGTTATCGAGTCATTGTAATATTTGGTATTTAAAGTTGGAAAATCAAAATATTTCAAAATTTGAAGCGAAGTGTGCATTTTATATATCTAGACACAATCGATTATATGTACTTTTCAAGACGTAACTTTATCCCAACCTCACGGTACGTTTTAAATCAAGTGAATTTTGTTATAAGAAGGTTTTCTTTCTTGTTTCTCATGCAGGTTGCTCTTTACTAGGCAGTTTCACTAAATTTCTCATTCAAACAAAGTGCTTTTCTATTATATTACAATCTTTTCCTAATGTGGCCTAGACACATTATGGGGAAATGTCGATTCAGTATGTTACTAGTTGAGAAACAAGGCCATACTCAAAGTAGATAATAGTATTCGAATTGTGTACAAACAAAAAATACTCGATAGTTTAAAATAATAATTGTAACCTTCACATATTTTTTATTGAATTATGTTACATGTATATAATGGTTTATATACACATGATACGGTAATAGATGATTGATCAGAATTTCTTCATTCAAATAAAAAATAAATAAAAATTCACACTTTCTTTTTGACATATCATTTGTATGTAAATCATTATATAACTCCTTATATACAAATATATTTATTATTTTTTGTTAGATTTCAATGTATCAATTAGGTCACCAAGCAATTTTATTTCTTTCTTTAACAAACAATTATTGGTATCAAGAACTAAAGTTAATAAATGGGAGTAATAATCATAATGGATTACACGTCTCTCACGGGAGAAATTGTGACGAATAAAGAAGGCGTGGACCAAAAATTAAGATAGTGAATGCGTAACTAATGCTGGCTACATTATAAAGACATAATAGATGGTCCCATGTCAGAAATTCATCTACAAAATTGAGTAGGTTCCGTCAAACTATCTAATGCCAGAAAATTTTCGTACACTTCTCTCGTCATATCACTTTAATTCGACACTGCGTTTATTCACTTGATATATCACACTAGTAAATTCTTTGATCTTCACAATCTCTACATGTTGACTTGACGAGGATGACTATAAATTGAGACTTGCTTCACGTACAAAGGCCAATCTTATAGACATTTTCTATAATACACACATATGTCGAGTCCATGTTGTTTCGCGCGGGTTAGTTGCTAACAATTAAAAGGGATCAGACGATTGTGTAAGGGACAAACCTCTTGACACAAAGTCCCAAAAAAGAGTGTTCTTTTATTGGCGATGACTTTACAATTGAAAATAAAAAACAAAATGCCTCTAAGGGGCGCAAGCACACTAATTACTGGAAAAAATGTTTAAGCCTAAACTAAGGAAATTAAAATTACATGTTCTCTGTTCGAAAGTTTTTGATTCGATCTTTTGCTCTATGTTTTTTCTCCCTTTTATACTCCATGGATGATCTTTTTTGTGATCAACCGCCTAAAAACTGTTTAATCGTTCTGCAACTGCCCACTTTCCTCGTAATGGCCAGCTTGTCATGAAAACTGCCTTTTTTAACTGCTGCCATTACTCTTCTTCGTTCAACC